CCTTGCTTTCTTAGTTTTCATGTGGTGTCCGATATCACAGAGGCTGGCAGCAGGACAACATGGAAACGCTTCTCATGGGGGCCCTTTCCCTGGGCTTGGAGGCATGACATATATTTTACAAGAACAATGAGAAATCAGTTAGGGATCCACTTTTTGTCATTCCCTTAGAAGAAACGCTCTTTGGCATAGAAGTAGGGGCAGAGGGTAGATGACTGTTAAGTTCTTAAAGGAAAAAAAAAAAAACCACCCTCTAATTCTTGGGATTTTTATCTCACTACAGTCTCTTTCACAAAATTCATTTTCTTAGAATATTCCCGCAAACCATAAATATTAGTGAAGACAAAGGACTCCTTTTGACCGGAACTCACTGCACAATTAGAAATAAATTCAACATTTTAAATGTGTTTGTATATTTATATCTTTTGGAGGAAAATATACTACCTATATATTATTTTTACCATATGTGCAGAAATTCCTTAAGCAAACATGTAATTAGGCATTTTAAAATATAAGATGTATTTATTTATAGCTTACATCCACACATTTACTTTTATTTGTCCAAAAGATTGAAACTATGCTTTCTTGGATTAGTTTTTTCTTTGGTTTCTTGTTAAAATATATAATTTGAGAAATTTTGAGCATACCTAAAAGCCCTGAGGAGACTGAGCAGTGATCTTTTTGAAACTTGAAAATATTGGTAGGAAGCTGTTCTCTTCTTTTTCCCCAAGTTCAATAGCTTAGCTATTCATTTCCTGTTTCCAATAGCTAAGGTAATTAGACCATAATGAGAACTCTTTGCTTGGAAGATGACATCTGAAAGTTGAAACTATTTGCTGCTGCATGAACCTCCACACAGGGGGAGGGGCAGGGATGGCCTCCTCAGAGGAAGAAAGTTCTACTACTAGAATGTCATTTCCCCCTGAAATTATTTCTCCCTGGAAAGACTCCAAAGTCTAGGAGGCAAAGTGACATTTGTGCTGGTTTTCCATGGAGTGATCAATTCTTCATTGTTTAGGAAACATCTCTAAAAGCTCCAGAAAGACCCAGAACAAACAAGAAACCTGTCTGTCACTTATTTTTTAATTTTGTTTGTCTTTCTAGGTATAGCCCATAGACAGTAAAGTGCACACATCTTATATCTTGATGTATTTTTCACCTATGTATACACCTGTGTAACTACCACCAAGACCCAGAAATAGAACATTTTCAGCCCTTGAAGGCTCTCAGACCCCACCCACATGGTTTGTGGGTGGGGGCTCCACCCACATGGAGCCACCAACATGGTTTCTACCCCAAGGAATGGTTTTGTTTATCCTTGGATTTCATGTAACGAAACCATGAATTATCCACTCTTTCTGTCTGGTTTCTTTCTCTCGAGGGTATGTGTCTGAGATCCATCCACATTTCTCTGTAGAGTTGGGCTCTTGCATTTCCATTGCAGGTAAGTGTCTCTTTGTGTGGATTTCCACAGTGTATTGATCCATTCTACTTCTTGTGGACATTTGAGTGTTTGCCAGTTGGAGCTCTCAGTAATAAAGCCATGAACATTCTTGTCCACATTTTTGAGTGAATAAAAGCTTTTGTCTTCCTTGGGTGTACATCTAGGAGTGGACTTCCTAAGGCAGAGACAATGTGTAGCTTTGCTTGATTTTGCCAAACTGTTTCCAACGAGTCATACCAACCATCACTCCCACCAGGAGGCCACTCGCCACTTTTTGAAGGGCAACAGGGCTCAGTTTCATCATGGAAAGCAAAGTCTCAACTATTCCACAAAGGGAGGACAGCGAGACTTAGCAGCAAGAGAGGTAGAAAAAAAATTTAAAAAGAAAGACAAGAAAGAAAGGAAGGGAAAGAAGGGAGGAAGGAAGGAAGGAAGGAAGGAAGGAGAAGAAGAAGATGAAGAAGAAAGAAAGAAGGAAAGAAAGAAAGAAAGAAAGAAAGAAAGAAAGAAAGAAAGAAAGAAAGAAAGAAAGAAAGAAAGAAAGAAAGAAAGAAAAGCTACCCTCTGAGAAGGAACTGGTCCAGGTTCCTGGGTCCTTATTGGGTGGGCCAACTCCCACTCTCGCTGGTAAGGGTGAGGGGTAGGGCACTGGCTGGGACACTTGCTCTCTCTGGGCTTTTGGCCACATGCACGCAGCCACAGTCACAGGGCTGCCTGGACAAGCGATGCTTTCCTGAGGTCAGGCTGCCTCCAGCCCAGTTCTCACCCTGTAGAGCATCACTGTAGACATGCTTCCTGGATCTAGGAAGTCACCTGAGCCCTTCTTTTATGGACCAAATTCTACCTGTTCTTTCTTCCAATATTTTTTTAAAATTATTGTCCAAAAAGTAAATAGTAAGACTATTTAAGGAAATCTGCTGCCCTCATGGCCAGCAATCCCAACCCTCTGTGTGCTGGCCATCTGGGGACAGCACTGCCCCAATCCTCCCCACTGACACTCAGACCCTCTGAGTGGCCCAGAAGGGAGCCTTCAGGCTCTGAGCTCTAAGTAGGCCAGAATCGCAGGGGAGGTGCAAACCCAAAACACCACCCCCCACCCCAGATGTTCTAGAGATGCAGGAGATAGAAGTGGATAGACCACTGTCCTTACTGACAACTTTTCTAAACAACCAGAGCAATGTCATTTTTTAGATTTAATATCTCTGTGGCTCCCTCTCCAAATTGAGACTCCCCCACTGATAGCTGTGTGGGCTGTCAAGGGCTGAGCCTGAAAGTCTTCCTACACACAGGAGGCCGGGACCTCTGGTCTGGGGCTGGGCAAACCTTGCCCGTCTCACGCTCGCCTCCCTCGCTCCATTTGCTAACTTCCTAGTAGGTTTTCTCTCGGGGGATTCCATGTCTGGAACCAATTGGCTGGCATCTCTGCTGGGAGCCACGTGTGTGCCCAGATGGTCAGTAGAACCCTTGGCCCCGAAGTTCCCCTCATAACTCAAAGGGATAGGCGCGCAGTGGTTTGTCATTTTGCTGTAGCACAAAATCGACCCCCATGTGCTGAGTGCATTGGCTAGTGAGGAGCGCACCTGTTTGCTCACCCGGGGCATCTCAGTCTCCCCAGGCAGAGACCCCTGACTCCAGCAGGCCATACCCACCAGTGGCAGGGCAGGCTGGGTTAAGCCCGGGAAGAAGTTAAGCAGACTTAAAGGCTTGTTTGCTTCCCCTTTTCCTCTCTCTTTCTCTGTCTCTCTTTACCATGGGTTGTTTTGAAAGGTGTGCACTCTCCTCCTCTCAGACTCCTGGGACCTCACTGCCTGTCCAGTTGGGGAGGGACAGGGACAGAGGGAGAGGCCCCAGCTATACCCCAAGAGCCTGGGCTGAATCAGGACCAGGTGGGCCTGCAGCCCTGCATGTTGGCCCTGGTATCCTGGCAGTTACCTGGGGAGTTGGTGCAGCTGTGGCGGTTTTAATACATGACCCCAGATTCTTTGACACTCCTTTTTTCAAAAGGTGGAACCTAATTTCCCTCCGCTTAAGTGTGGGCTGCACTCAGTGCCTTGCCTCTCACGCATGAAACATAGCTGAGATAATATGTGACTCTAAGAACACAAGACTGGGTCATAAAGGGCACTGCAGCTTCCTGCTTGTTCTTTCCTCTCTCTCTCCCTCTCTCTCTTCCTCTTTCTCCCTCTCTCTGTCTCTCTCCTTTTCTCTCTCTGTCATCACTAGCTCTGGAGAAAACCAGCTGCTATGTCACGAGGATGCTCTGGCAGCCCAGTAGAGAGATCTGCTTGGTGAGGAGTGAGGCCTGGGCCACCAGCCAGGTGAGTGCGCCATCTTGGCAGCAGACCCTCCGGCCCTGGGGAAGCCTTCCAATGCCCGCAGCCCCCGATGGCACCTTGACTAAGACTTCATGAGAGACCCTGAGGCAGAACCACCCAGCCGAGCTGTTCCCAGATTCCTGAGTAAGAGCATAAATGGTTGTTGTTTTAAGCCACTAGGTTTTGTGGTAATTTGTTACACAGCAGTAGATAACTACAGCAGGTTATTAGTGCCACTCATGAAATATTTCTGGTTCTAGCTTCAAGAAACATGACAGGTTGACCCATCTCCCCTTGTTGGAAATTAGGTATGCCCATGTAACTTTTGTCAGCTAATGAAATCGTGCAAGATCATGTATGTCCCCTCTAGGAGGGCACTTGAAGAGCCAGGGTGCCATCACCATCTCTTTTCTGTCCCCTAGCAAACCAACGGCCAGTGTTGTGATGAAGGGACACTGCTCCATCATCGTGGGGCCAGGAGGCGGGATGAGCAGAGCTGCTAGCTGACCTACCATGGCATGTAGTAGAAGAAGAACTCATCCGCTGTGGTTTTTAGGCACCCACATGTTGGGTACTCGTTACTGCAGCACGACTGGCACTCCACTGACTGACGCAGGCAAGGATGCTCGGAGACCCTCTGTCCCTCCACCCCCAGCTCTTCATATTCTGGGGGCCCAAGAAAGCTAGCATCTCCATTCAGGGCAGCAGGATTGCGCCCCTAACATGGGATCCCTGTTGTCTACACAGGGCACAGCACCCCTGTGTCCAAGCCCAGGTGAAAAGTGTGGAACCTGGTTCAGGAGGGGACCAGGGGCCTCACTGCCGCTCCCATCGTGTAGGACCCAGTGGATGGGAAAGGCTTGCGTGGGAGCGAGAGGAGTTTAAGGTGTTAAGTAACAGCCATGCAATCCAGTTCTGAAAGTCACAAAGTCAGCAATGATTGATCTTTTGCTTTCTTTTCCAGAACCATAGAGAATTTGGGGAAATTACTGTCTGGCCACCCAGAAAACAAAGGCCAGTTAGAATTTGTTTTATTTTCTTCTCTTCCCAGATCAGTCCACAGTTCCCCAAGGACCTGCTGTGGTTTTGAGCTTCCTCTGTGCCTGTTCCGCTCTTCTCCACGCACACCCCTCCCGGGCCCCCAAGCCCCGGCCCCCTCAACGGTCCTTTTCGGTCCTTTTTGCCTTCCTTTGGGCCTCCTCCCCGCCCCCCGCCCCCTGTCCTCAGACTCCAGCCTCCTCGTTATGAAGTGTCAGAAAGTTGCTGGAGTGAGAAATGAGCCTGTGAAAGCTCGTTGTCCTAATTAAACTTCCACAAGGAGAGTGACAAGAGGCGACGGGGAGGAAACGGTGCCACCACCGAGGTCTCCGCCTGGGCCCAGGTCGGGGAAGGCCTTTGTCCTGCAGAACAAAAGCCACTGTTTGCACGTGTTAAACCTCATCAAACTTCAACAGACCCAGGTGCAAAAACCCACATCCCAAATGCCATCTGGGCTTATGCCACCTTCCCGAGCGCTGACTGTCCCCAGCCGTCAACCCTAATCAGGGCCCGGCCCCACATCAAAGCCACACTCCCTCCACAGACAGCTTCTGCTCTAAGACGCACGACTTCCTTCGCTCAGCCCTGGCCTGATGAATTAGGGCGCAGAGCCCCCATGGCATGGCTGGGCCCTGCTGGCATTGTTAATGAGGTGGAAGGGCGGGGACATCTGAGCCCGGGACTAACATAATCACATAAAGCTGTTGCTTTGGAACAGCCTGAGCTGCCTGAGAGTCAATTTCCCTGGAAGCAACACAAAGCAGAGCTTCCTGGGAGAAGACACAATGCCTCCTATTGTCCCTGTCACTTCCCGTCCACCCTCCTGGAGTTTAAGTGTCTACCCAGGAGCCACTGCCCTGTGCGAAGGCTGTTTGCCGATGCCCAGCTGTGGTTTCCAAAACCCCCGTGAGAAGTAGTTTCTGTCCACAGTCACTGTTTCCAGACTGGCCAGGCCATCTGCAGAGGAGAGGCCTGGCCCAGGGAGACCAGGAAGAGGCCCTGCTTGTGAAAGGACCCTGGTGGCTGGCGATGTCTCATGGGTAGCTGGGAGGCAGCTGATGCCAGCCATGCTGGACATGCTCTGGGCAGCGGACAGGGTGGCTCAAGTCCCCGTGGCACCCTTCCATGGAAAGACCCCAGGAGAGGCTCCTGAGGGCCCAGGTCCCGGACAGAGGACCAAGTGTGGGTTAGCAGTCAGCTCTCAGAACGTGCCTGGAAAACACACACCCAGGTCCTAAAGATGAGTCTCATTCCTACCTGGGCAAGAGTGGAGTAAGGAAGTGAGCAATGTGGGGCCTGGGGCCGTGTGTGGGCCGGTCTGTGCTGACCACCAGGTAGGGGGCGGGAGGTCGCCATGGAAGCTGTGTCTCCCCATCTCCCTTGGATGAGCATTTGGGGGATTCTGCTGCATTCACTGAGTCACTGAAAGACACTGGAAAGTCACCAAGATTCTACACGGACCAAGACCTGACTCCCCTCTTGCTGCCCGTGGGGAGGCTGATGTGTGGACGACCAAGGGTAACCAAGGCAGAGGTGACTGGGGACATCTCCGGTTGCAAGGAGGGCCTGCAGGAGGAACAAAGGGGAACCTCGGTACAGGAGGAAGGAAGGTTCCATCCAGCCCTCACTCAGGGCCTCAGTGGACGAGGAGGATTTTGCTGAGGAAACAGAGTATATGTGAGGTGAAGGCTTGGCTGAAGCATCGCTTATAATAAAAAGGCAAAAGCGCTTGCCGTCTTCCCGGCTCTGGCTTAGCCTCTCTCTCCAAGTCTTGGCATCCCTGGAAAACCATGATTTTTCCAATCTGCTCCCGACCCGCCACCTCCTCCCACACTCTCACGTTGCAGTCTGGTGTGTGCGGTAGGCACTCAGACAGCACTTGCGGATCTTGAAAACGAAGCCATTCTGTGGGGCTCCTAGAAACCAGAGGGACCTACTTAGCCAAGAGATCACTCTTGGACACCAGCAAGAGTGAAATCACTTGATAGGTATTTTGTCGTGTGTTTCTTTTTAACTGTATTTAAAAAAAAAAAAAAGGGTGGATGTGCAAACCCAACCCAAGAATACCTTGGCTCAGCCTCAACTAGATGAAACTTTAAAAAATGATTTAATGTTATGTTAGACTGTTGCATATTAAGGCGATGTAATGCCTTCTAAGAAACGAGAGTCGGGTCCTGCAAGCAACGACTCGGGCACATTTAGAGAGAGTTGCGGCTCACTTTTCAAGGGAGCGACAGGCGACATTTTGCCCACGACATTCAGCAGCCCGGACCCCTAGTGACAGAGTGTAAACACTTTCATTCCCAGATTACGAGGCTACCACTTCCTCCTCGCCTCCCCGAGCCACACTTTTCCAAACAGCAACTGTGTGAGGGATGGGAAGCTCATGAGAGGAGGAAATGTTTGGGGCCGCGTCGGCCGGTGGATCCGGGCTTGTGGTCACCGTGTTACAGAGTCAAATCGCTTCCCAGTAAACACCCGCTTCCGACGGCTCTCTGGCCAGGGCTGGCGGGGGCCGGGCAGGGAGTGTGCGTGTCGGGCCCGTTGCATCACGGGCTGTGCAGCTGTGTAGGGCCCTCTGTCCAAGGCATTCATGGAAAATTGTTGGGCTCTCAGCCCGCAGCAGATGCGCCGGGGAGGGGAGCCGGGAGGAACCGGGATGTGGCGAGAGAGGGGACGGACGCAGAGGGCCTGGAAAGCCTTGCAAGGTGACCACAGGCAGAAACCTGAAAAATGAAGACATTCCCACCAGTTCCAGAGAATGAGGCGAACTTAAAATGCAGCTTCTTTCCTTGAAGTGGGCTTGGCAGGCCCCAGTTGTTGAAAGGCAAAAAAAAAAAAAAAAAAGAAAAGAAAGAAAAAGAAAAAAAAATGAACATGTTTTACATTTGTCTGGCCTGCATATCTAGCTGGGTTCCCTCCAGACCTTTCGCATGCTGCATCGATGTGCAGGATCAGAACAAAAGGAATGTAGGGGCGTCTTTGCTGTAGAGCCCAGAGCTAAGGAGCTTGTAATTTTTAAAAATACTGTTTCATGCATCTATTGTTCTAAATCAGTAAACAGGTACATGCCGGGGCGTCTTGGAAGTGACTACAAGTCTCAAGGCTGTAGCCTCTCTGGCCACTGCTTTAAGAGGTCCCCTGTGCCCCTCAGAGGCCACCTCAGCCATGACAGGAAGGCAGGGATCCATTTCTCCTTGTTTTGGGAGCTCCTCTTCCCCATTCATGTCCTAGAGCCTCAACTCCTTGAGTCGGCTCTCAGGCAAGGAGCAGAAACTCACTCAGACTCAAGTGTGAATGGCGACGCCAGCTTCTTCTAGGGCAGATGGGGAGGCTCGTGTTTTCACAGGTCTCAAGCTAAAAGCAAGCTCTTGCTAAACAGATGGGGGAATTATGTTTAGGGGTAAGGGTCCGTACTGGACTCCGATGAGTTCCTTTAAGAATCCAGGAGATTTCTTGCCTCTGAGCTTTATGTAGGGTTGGTTCTCTCCACCTGCAACGCTCTTTGCCTAATTGACTCACACTTTCTTTCTGCTTAAAAATGTTACTTCCCCAGGATGGCTTTGGTGATTAGGAGTGTCCCCATGGTAGAGGCTGCTAGTTGCCAAACAATTCCCCTTTCTTCTTGACTAAGAGACCCCTATATTGTTGGGGCAGTAATAGGTCCAGCTGAAACACTGCATTTCCCAAGTTCACAGATATCTGCAGAGACTTTGAGGGTGGGGGAAGCTTCAGAGAAAGTTCTTTGAAAAGGGGGATAATTAAATCAGGAGGCAGACTTTCTTTTTTGCCTTTCCCCCTTGGAATGTGGGCATGATGGTTGACGCTCCAGCAGCCATCTTGGGACCAACATAAGGGTTGACGTCACAAACTACAATGGTTGGGCAGAAAGAAAGAAGACACCAGACTCCCTGATTAGTGGAGCTGCCTTGCTGGACCCTCTTAGACTTCGCACCTCTGTACTTCTGTTACATGAACATAAACCTCTGTCTTCTTTAAGTGGCATGGTTTCCAGTCACTGTCACTAGCAACTGAACTAAACCCTTTCTGCATTTCTCCGCACCACTATTCACCCTTGCAATTTCTCATTCCGTGTCTGTCTTCTCCCCTCTCTGTAGAAGCTATGAGATCAGCGGTGTATCTGTTGCATTGTGTGCTGGAGCCTCAGTGGCTGGCCTGCAGTCTGGCACATAAAGACAGCCCTGGAAATGTCTGTTGAACAAGATGCCCTGAAATATGTCTCTGCCTGTAGCTACACTTGGAACCCCCTCCCACGGAGTTACACAAGATTCCAGGATATTGAGAGCCAGGGCCCATGCAAGGTCAGCGTTTGAACTAATTAGAGCACAGAGGAGGGAAAAACACCTATTTATTTATAACAAGACCAGCTATTTTTGAGCACCTGCCATGTGCCAGGCAATGTATTGAGACTTAAGAGAAAATCTTTCCAATCCCCATGGTGGATATCGTGCAGGCAGCTGGCATTCCTCACTTTAGGGTATGCCCATGTCTCATGATCTATTGCTGCATAGCAAACTGCCCCCAAGCTCAGGGCTTAAAACAACAGGAATTTTTTAAATTTCTCATGATTCTAAGGGTTGACTGGGACTCAGCTAGATGGTCCCTCTGCTGGTTTCCTTTGGGGTGTCTCACCTAGCTACAGTTGAGTGGTGACTGGAGTGGGACATCCAAGGTGACTGCGCTCACCTGCCTAGGGCCTTGGCAGGAATGGCTGGGAGCCTGGGATTAGCCAGGACATTGGAACAACTGGGCCTATCTCTCTCAGGGGTCTCAGGACCTCTTCCTCTCCATGTGGCCTCCCCAGTAGGATCACTGAACTTCTTACCTGGAGGCTCAGGCCTCCCAAATACAGAGGCAGAAGCTGCTACCTTCTTAAGGCTCAGGCCCTGAGCTGGCCCAATAGCACTCGGCATGTTCAAGAGTTAAGGCAGCGGCAGGGGCATCCAGAATGACCACAGGACGTGAACACCAAGAGGCGCCATTCATGGGGGCCGTCTTTGGGGCCTTGACACTGCACCCACGAGTAGATGTGATTCATTTTATAGGCAAGGAGGCTAAGAGAGGCCAAGAGGCTTTCCCGAGACCCCATACCATTGAGCGTGAGGATGAACCCAGGGCAACCCACCTCCCCAGCCTGCCTGCCTCCGTCTTCCTCATCAGCCTCTTGAGCAAGGGGATAACCCTGAAGGTGCATCCAAGACCTCAACTCTGCCCAAAGCACATATTGTCAAGGCCTACATGCGTTGGGTTGAGGACAGTCTCCCATCCAGATGTTTCATATCTGTCCTTTAGAGCAGTGATGGGGCCCTGGGAAAATGTCACCAAGATGAAGGGTGGCTTGATAGCGGGGCAGACACACAGGGGGTCAGGGACACCCACACACCGTCATCCCCAGCCATGGGCTCTTCTGTTCACTCCATCCCATTCTTTTACAATGTCTGCCTGTGCATCGTTACCCCAGATCGAAACATACGCCCACATGCACCTTAGCTTCTTCATCTGCGGCTTCCCCAGTTCAACCAGTCTCTGTACCCACAAGAGCAACCAGGGCCTCCAGAGACAAGGTGCTGGGGGGTGGGGGGAGCATGACTCCAGGGCCCAGCAGGAGCCCCTCAGCTAAGGTCCCCTCAAAGCCTGAGAGTTGCCTTTATCCGCCCCTTGTCTATTTCACCCAAACATGTTTTTGGACACGCAGTTCCCAGGGAAGAGCAGGCCCGGCCCCCTGGCCTCAGAGCTCAGCCTTCAGGGTAGGGCAGGAGAAAGAATGTAATCAGAGTTATGGCTTAATGAAGTGAACCGTAATAACCATAAACAGACAGTTTGGGATTTGGTTTGTTATTTTGTACAAGGCAGTACCTTTCAATAGCAACTGGTGTTAGGGTCAAGCTTAAACATTTTTGTGTCACCAACAAAAAAACAGTGATGCCATTGTTAACACTGTATTTTTCCACCTTAAAACGGGATTGGTTTTGTGGATTGGGAAAGTTACCAAAAATAAGTTCCTTCAATCACAAACGTTAGCAGAAAGGAAGTTGCTAGATTGCTTTAAAGATGAGAGAGGCCTGCAGGTAAGAAAGAGCAGTTACAGACAATGGTGTACCAGACCACCTTCGTCAAGCGTTTTTTATATTTAATGTGCATAATGGATAATAAATTCCGTACAACTTAAGAAGGAAAAGTAAGTCTGTCTATTAGTTCCTATATACAGGGTTGAGTAGAAATAGCTCTGTGGACTAGCTCATGCCTCTAAGGTAT